TTCTAGTTTTAATGCTGAACTTAGGAATGACAATTTGATATTGAGCCGTGATATCAAGCAGTTCCCATAGGCAGATCTTGTCTTCACTAGTATAAGCATATGTTTTCATACAATAAGAATCAGAGCTGTAGTGCCTGACTTGACATTTAATTTAAATTTCAACTGTGCAATTCACTTCCCTACCTTCATACCTGTCCTTATCATGTACATTATCTCTTGCATTATCAATCTTGAAACACCCCAGCTTGGTGACTAGTTGCTATAGGCACCCAAAAGTTTTCCCTAGAGACCAGAATTCCATAATAATAATCATCATTCAACAAATATATTTTTGGTATGTTTATTTGTTTAAGTGGAAATTATTTCCTTGACTCTAATACCCTTCATCTGTTCTTGCCTACAGCTTGGATGCAAAAAGGGTTTTGTCTGAACATTTAACAATTCTTTCTTCTTGGTTCAGAAAGCAGGCAGTGGAAAAATTGTACCTCTACATTCTCATCATTTTGAAATGCTGTACATCAGGGGTGGGTTCTACTTACCTTTACTACCAGTTTGCAGCGGGGACGTGCGCGCGTGCTTGCTTCGCTCACACATGCGCAGAAGCGTTTTGGTGATGTCGGGGTCGGTGGGCGGGGCCTCCCACTGGCTTTACTACCAGTTCTATAGAACCAGTCGAACCGGGGGCAACCCACCACTGCTGTACATAATTATTAGTACTACTAGTAGTGACAGTAATACCCAAAGTTGTCCAGTTAGCTTCCATGGCTGAGGGTAGTCTTAAACCTTGTTTTCCAAGTTCAAGTTCAACTTCTTAACTGCTATACTGCACTGACTGTCTAAATCTAACAATAATATAGTGGTTAATACACTGGACTAGAAGTATAGAAATCCAAATTCTAGTGTTTCTTTAGGCATGGAAATCAATTGGGTCACTTAATCTCTCTGTCTCAGTCCTAGAAAGAAGGCAATGGAAAACCACTCTGAAAGTATTGAAAAAAACCACAAGGACATACATATGGTGGCAAGGTTCAGAACTGATGTGAAGGCATTTTTGTTGTTGTTAGTTGCGAAGTCATGTCCAACCCATCGTGACCCCATGGACAATGTTCCTCCAGGCCTTCCTGTCCTCTGCTATCATCTGGAGTCCATTTAAGCTCACACCTACTGTTTCAGTGACTCCATCCAGCCACCTCATTCTCTGTCGTCCCCTTCTTCTTTTGCCTACCCACAAACACATAAATAGTATACTTTATTATGGCATGCTTGAAACTCATTTTCGATTTATCTTTGTTGTGCCATCAAGTATACAAACTGCATAGAGAACTGAAAATTTATGTAGGCAAAATGCTATTCCCTGCCCCAAGGAATGTACAAATTAAGTTTAGTTGTGTGGTACAGAATTAGGAGCACTAGTATCTTCCAGATATCACACTTATAAGCCAGTGATTAGGAATTTGGGAATTGTAGTTGAGGGAATTCTGGACATAAAAGAAAGCAAGAGAGATTTGAGAGCAAGAAGTGTTAATACCGCATTATAATCAGCTGTACATCTCCACCCCAGACCACCCCAATGATGCCCTTGAAGTGATGTCCCGGTGCCTGGAGGCCGTGCGGGTCTGGATGGGGAAAAACAGGCTCCGACTCAACCCTTCCAAGACCGAGTGGCTGTGGCTTCCGGCGTCCCGATATAGCCAGCTGGTGCCATTGCTGGCTATTGGGGGCAAGTTACTGGCCCCCCACGGAGAGGGCCCGCAACCTGGGTGTCCTCCTGGACGCACGGCTGTCTTTAGAAGAGCATATGACGGCCGTGGCCAGGGGGGCTTTTTATCAGGTCTGCCTGATTCGCCAGTTGCGTCCCTTTCTGGATCGGGATTCCCTACGCACAGTCACTCAGGCGCTCGTCACTTCCCACCTGGACTACTGCAATGCTCTCTACATGGAGCTCCCCTTGAGGAGCACCCGGAGGCTCCAACTGGTGCAGAATGCGGCCATGCGGGGGATTATGGGAGCGATGGGGCGCTCCCATGTGACACCTCTCCTGCGTGAGCTGCATTGGTTCCCGGTGGTCTTCCGGGTGTGCTTCAAGGTGTTGGTTACCACTTTAAAGCGCTCCATGGCTTAGGGCCTAGGTACTTACGGGACCGCCTTCTGCCACCAGTAGCCTCCCACCGGCCAGTATGCTCCCACAGAGAGGGACTCCTCAGGGTGCTGTCGGCCAAACAATGTTGGCTGGCGACCCCCAGAGGGAGGACCTTCTTTGTGGCAGCACCGGTCCTTTGGAACGACCTGCCCCCGGAGATACGTAGGATCCCAGATCTCCGTGCTTTTCGCTGTGCCCTTAAAACTTTTTTATTTCATCAAGCTGGGCTGGCTTGACCCCCCCTTAGATATTTTTAATTGCTAAATTGGGTTTAGTTGGGATAATTTTAAATTTTATTGGGCCAATACTAGTTTAATTCTTTTAAAATTTTAATTTTGTATGCTCTGTTTTTATCTTTGGCTGTGCACCGCCCTGAGTCTAGCAGGTGAAGGGTAGTATAAAAATCAAATTAAATAAATGAATGAATGAATGAATGAATGAATGAATGAATGAATGAATAAATAAATAAATAAATAAATAAATAAATAAATAAATAAATAAATAAATAAATAATAAATAAATAAATAATGCTTTGATAAGACCACACTTGGAATTCTGCATCCAGTTTTGGTCATCACAATGTAAAAAAGATGTGGAGACTCTAGAAAGATTGCAGAGAAGAACAACAAAGATGATTAGGGGACTGGAGACAAAAACATACAAAGAACAGTTACAGGAATTGGGTATGTCTAGTCTAGTGAAAAGAAGGACTAGGGGTGACACGATAGCAGTGTTCCAATATTTGAGGGGCTGCCACAAAGAAGAGGGGGTCAACCTATTCTCCAAAGCATCTGGAGGCAGGACAAGAAGCAATGAATGGAAACTAAACTAACCTAGAGTTAAGGAGAAATTTCCTGACAGCACAATTAATCAGTGGAACAGCTTGCCTCCAGAAGTTGTGGATGCTCCAACACTGGAAGTTTTTAAGAAGAGATTGGACAACCATTTGTCTGAAACAATATAGGGTTTCCTGTTTGAGTGGGGGGTTGGACTAGAAGACCTCTAAGGTCTCTTCCAATTCTATTATTCTGTTATTAATTGAAGGTGTAGGAGACCATAGGTTACCTGCAATTTGAGGATCTTGGAAAAATAGAGGGGTTAGGAAGGAACATATTGAGAGATCAGAGGACAGAAAGATAATGCAGGCAAAGCAAATAGCCTGGTCTGGAGGCCGAAAGGAAGGAAAATTTAAACAACAGTAATTTCCAGGCAATGTACAGAATCTGCCTTAGAAAAGCCAAACATGTTTTCCCAAGGAAATGCTTTTGGTGTGTGTATCGTGCATTATTCAGCAATCACACTGCAGTATTTTGTCATTGGAAATACACACTTAATTTCCCAAGGAAGCTTTTTTGTCGCAGTACTTTGTGTGCTATGCAGTTCTGGGCACCTATTGGTTAATGCCCATGAGATGATTGGAGATGCATAGGCACAAAAGCCAGCCCCCTCCACCACTGAGTGGTGATTTTTTTTTTCCTTTTCTTAATAGGCTTTTGAAGGCTAAGCACTTCCCCTCTCTAGCTGAGGCACATAGATCTCACCGAGGAATATGTGAGCTTATCTCATTTCCTGACTCATTTATGAGATTCAGTTATCATCTTCCACTTATAAGCTTCCAATATTTCCCATAATTTTTCTCCCTCTTCCCCTTTGCCACACATTAAAAATTAACTTGTAAGGAGAAAAAGATGAACTAGCTGCACAAAAACCATTGACTGGAATCTCTAGGATTGCTAGACTGAAAGTACTGTACATCCCGTGTGTGTCAGAGAAAGAGAGTTTCTGAGGCTTTCAACAGGCTGTCTTGTCCTCAGATGTCCTCAAACAATTCCTCTTGATTACAAGGGTTTTTCTCCTTTTCTCTAATAGGATGGCATTATCATTGGTACTGTACTCTTAAGAGCATGGTTTGGGAAGAATGTTTGGTCATTTGGAGAGGCCTCCAGTAAATCTGCAGCAGAGATTACTGAGCAAACTTCAGGAGAAAAGAAACATAAAAGCTTATCTCTCAGCCAATTCTCTTGGGACTTTCTAAAACCAACAGCTTACTTTTCTCTTCTCGCTCTGTGACATACATACCCAGAGAGACATTTTTCTGAAGAATTCTCAGGTCTAGTTGAACTAAGCTTAACAAATCAGTCCCTAGCACCTGCTGTGTGAATCCCAGGAGAATTCAAGACCTCCTCAAGCAGACAATCCTCACACAAAATATCTTCTTGACCTTCTGCTTTTTATTCTTCCAAGGAGTAGCAATACATGTCAAATGGCGATCCTTGAAGTAGCTCTCATCAAACGTTCTTCCCAACCTCAGTTTATGAAGAAGAAGTGGGGAATGTTTGTTCTTTGTAAAATGGCTTGAGAGACTTTGAGCTAAACAAGAGCTTATTTACAATAGCCAAAATACATAAACTGCTTTCAGTGTTTGCTCTTCCTTCCTCAACTAACTTCTGCCTCTGTTCTTTCTGAGCTGTTCCTTGAAACAAAAGATTGGCTAGCTCCTCCTTCTCCTAGATAATGTCCTCATTAGTCACTTGTAGCAATCTGCTATAGTCCTCCAACTATCATTGTGCCAAAATAATTGCAATGAGGGCAGGTTTTCTGTCATTTCAGTGATGACTGGGTGATGCTATGATAAGCTGTACGTCACTAGGGAAAATGGCTTTTGATAGACAGGAAATCAGTTTCACTACAGGCAACATCTGAAGGGAGACATAATTAAGAGAATAATTACATTTGTATGTATTTGTGTGTATGGGTAAAGAGCAAATAGTAAAATAGTCAACAAAATAAATTGTCAGATGGCTTTGGCTATACTCCCTCTTCTGCCACACTAATAAGCTGTATGTTTTACTTTCACCAGCAGTTCCTTTTCAACAAAACCCATACAACTCTGGGGGTCGTCCCACCATAATTCAATGCTATCGCTGTGGAGATACTTGTAAAGGCGAGGTGGTGCGTGTCCAGAACAATCACTTCCACATCAGATGTTTCACATGCCAGGGTAAGTAAGTGTTCAGTGCTGCTCCAAGCTGAGAGAAGATTGTGAACCTCTTTAAAGTATACGATGCCAGTAGGTCCATTTAGTGAGTGAATAGAAAGGAACAGAGGTTATGGCGCATTTATTTATTTATTTATTTATTTATTCATTCAATTCCTACAGCCATCCATTTCAATCAATTACTCTGAGTGACTTACAATTCAAAAAAATATGCAATTAAAACATTTTAACTGAGGCATGTCTGTTTTAGTCCTGAAAACTTGGTGTTATGATTAGAAAGAAGTACAGTTTAGTTGCAAACTAAATTTAATGTCCCTGAGCAGTTGCAAAATGTTGATAAACAAGTTCCTTTACCTACAATATAGGTCAGTACGTGGAGTTGATAGAATATACAAATTTGAAAAGGAGGAACCTGGGTATAATTGGGATTAGGAAAAGTGAGAAGGTTCTTAGAATAGAATAGAATAGAATAGAATAGAATAGAATAGAATAGAATAGAACAGAACAGAACAGAACAGAACAGAACAGAACAGAACAGAACTGAACTGAACTGAACTGAACTGAACTGAACTGAACTGAATTCTTTATTGGCCAAGTGTGATTGGACACACAAGGAATTTGTCTTGGTGCATATGCTCTCAGTGTACATAAAAGAAAAGTTACATTCGTCAAGAATCATAAGGTACAACAATGATAGTCACAGGGTACAAATAAGTAATCAAATCATATTAGGAAACAGTCAATATAAATTGTAAGGATACAAGCAACAAGGTTACAGTCATATAGTCATAAGTGGAAGGAGATGGGTGGTGGGAACGATGAGAAGATTAACAGTAGTGCAGACTTAGTAAATAGTTTGACAGTGTTGAGGGAATTATTTGTTTAGCAGAGTGATGGCGTTCGGGAAAAAACTGTTCTTGTGTCTAGTTGTTCTGGTGTGCAATGCTCTATAGCGTTGTTCTTGCTTAAAACTGGAGATGTGCATTTAAACGTGGTCTATTACTCATTCCTAAAGCCTCAAGAATGATATTTTCATGAATTTACCTAGAGTTTTTAGTAGAAGTCAGGGACCTTCACCAATGTGTAATTTCAAAGATATTTTGGAGGAAGTCATGCCTGTTAATCCGATAAAAAAAACTATACTAAGAATGATCTCTCTCTCCCTCTCCCTCTCTCAAAAATTGTAAGCTAAAATAACCAAGAGATGTCCTGTAATTTCTGATATCAATCTTGGAAGACCTATCCAAGTTTGTTCCACCATATAATAAACAAATCAAGGTGGGATTACTTTGGGCTTCTTTCCTCTTTATCAGAACTATTTAATATTTTCTTCAATTCCCCCGTTAACAGCTTCTTCAATCTCTTCCTTATGTCCAAGATCAGTTCTATATTTTCTCTGTCTCTTTCTCACATACACAGAGAACTTGTGTCTCTAGACATAAGTGCAACTTCTGGCATCTCCAGACCACATGCTAGTTGGGAGGGATACTAGAAAACTGCAGTTCCCAAATATCTGCAGGACCTCAGGTTCCCCAATGCTTATTCTCTAACAGACAGATAGATCATTTCAAATAAATGAGTATTTGTGTGTTGGTGCAGGCCATTGTATTGTACAAATGCTAGCTAATGTGGGAAAAACTCACTATTTTGTTAAAGTAACAGAAGTGGTGAATTGGGAGAGGGATGAATCTCTTGTAATTCATGTTGTACACTTTATGGATCTGCTAACTACCCCTTAGAACAGCTGTTTCAAATAAATGCAATAAGGAGCCCACTCACATCTGTTCTGGGTTTAATTTTTCAACTTCTTTGCTTTACCCCTCCCACTCACCCTTCCATCAGTAGGGCAGGGACATAATTTAGTAATTCACAATATTCAGTTTTCAGCAGAAAGCAATTTAGTCTCCAAATAGGTTCAGGATCACATGTGGAAGTTAAAAGCTATCCCAAATAATGGGAAACAGGACAATGGGTAAGAATTCCAAAAACTTTTGTATGCAGTATCACGTATGGCTCCTGTCAGTCAAAGCTTCACGGCATGAAAATGAGGACATGCACTACCGGTAGTACATGAAAAGCTAGGTGAAAAGAAAGCGTATCGGTTCTTAAAATATAAAATGGGCATGTATAGTAACAATTCACTTAAATAAGCAAAGTAATGTCTATTTGGTCCTGCAGGCTGTATCAGTATTTACTCTGAAAAGGAACAAAGTGTTCTTAGTTATTAAGTAAATATACAGAAAAAGAAAAGCCTCATAGGAAAACAAAGCATTTTTTGTTCTCTTTTTATTCATTATTATATGCAATGTAAAAAAAATGTTAAATACATTTCAGAACAAAATTCCTTCCACAGGGATAGTTTGAAAATGAATTCAACTTATTATACTATTACATAAAACACAAGAAATAACTATTTAAAATACCAGCCAAATGTTGTTTAAAAGGGATATTAACCAAATGTATATGATTTGAAGTGCCTTTTTCATATACAAGCGGCACAGCACATTCTAAAAGTGTTTCACAGGAATTGTTTTTGCATGGGGTTTTTATGTAATGGTATAATATATCCAATTCATTTTCAGATTGCCCAAGGAATTCTGTCCAAACCTTGCTAGATGTTTTTGCAATTAAATTAAAAACAAGGGCAAAAATAGTCTTTCTGTGAGATTTCATGAAGTTTCCTCATATTTAAATCTTTAGGACAATCAGGAAGTTGTCGCTCATACACATTTTGTGTCCGCCTCTATCTCAAGGCAGAACTACCCAAGGAAATTCAGTTAAAGGTGGTTAGCAAATTATTGTAGGCCATAATAGAACTCACATCAGCTGACTGGCCACCTACAAAGTCTCAATTCAGAAATCCTAGGATATCTTTTCCTATAAATAGAAAGACACCTGCTTTTACATCATGCCATAAATCTCCATCCTGCTGTTTGCTGACAAATGAGAAGACAGTTCACAACCAGTCTGCCAAACTAAAATTGTTTGATCTACTATGTACATGAGCATATTTCTTTGACCTTTGCCACCACCTCCTCCTTCTATTGGGATTTTAAGAACCTTAATCTGGGGTTTCTATATAATAGAAAGCCATTAGATTAATCCCACCCACCTGCCCGCCCAATGGATCTTACAAAACAAGATCATGCAATTGATTATTCATAACATTGGGTATTTATGTATTGCCCAAGTGGTTCTCAGTGAACCAGAACAGCCACTGAAATTGAGAATCTAATTGTATATTATCTTTCCAAACCACCAAAGAGTAGGTGCAAGTTGTTTTAATTGTGATGAGAAAGGATGCATGCTGATGTAAACAAGATTTTAGATTAGAATTACAAAATATGTTTGAAAGCAATGAACAAACTTGCGTAGATCAAAAAATTAACCAAGTGCGAACAAATTCAGTGCATTGGAACTTTTACATGCCAAGCCCATGAAAAAAGTAGCTCCAAAGAGCATTTGTTCATAATCCAAACCATTTTTACCTCTTTTTAAGAAACAGCCTTCTGCAACACTTAAAAAAAATGCATTGCTAGCATTTTTTGTGTACTCAACTTGCAAAGTAAATGTAATCTCATTCAGAGAATCTTCCACAATATTCAATAAACAAACCATAATAAATGAAGAGATCAACAGCAGTTTAAAGCTCCTAGAGAAACCCAGGTATGATTTTTTTTATGCTGCATACACATTCACAATAGCTTACCACTGATCTTAATCATAATTATATCTGAGGATAAAAAGGATGCAGAGAGTACTTAATAAAAGAAGTCTTCCTTATTGCAGGGACATAGCATTATTATCATTGTTGTGGCATGATGGGGGCATATTACTTATTCAAATATGTAGACACACTCATCTCCCAAAAACAGTCTTCTGTGGTTGTGAGTGAGACTTTCATCGAGGCAATCTATTTCTGCTGTCATTTTTAAGTAACATGTTAGAGCCCAGAGAATCTAACTAGTAAACATTTCCTTCAACATGAAAGTCCACCCCACCCACATATACTTAAACTCCACTCTAGCCTACTTGTGCGGCAGTATTTTCATCCTATTTATCAGCCTCCAGGGAGAAAGATGAACAATACATTAAAAAAAAAAAAGAATCAGCATGTCATATTGCAGCTGTATGAGTTCCTAGTCCACATTTCAGGCCAAGGACAATATCTGGATTGATTCATTGGGTTGCAACCAGGGAAGTCTATACAAAACAACTTATCTTAGCAGTTCAGGGATAATTTATGTGTGGGGGAAAAAAATTCAAGCAAAACTGGATGTTCTCATCTTCCTAGCCTCTATTGACTATCCCAGCTTTCAGAACACCACAGGAAAAGTGTGTGTCTCCAGCCCCCTGGAGTTTGGTGCTGATTATGGAGTTTGGTCTTGATTATTCGGTTAGACAAAGACTTCACTCTGTCTCCAGCTTCAAAAGAGACTTAGAACCACCAGGAGAGAACTTGGCAGCCTTCTTTATTTGCTTCCAAAGCCAAAGGAAATCCTTATTCCTTAATGGGAAATAAAGAGAAGGATGCTTGGTGGAATGATGAAATAGTAGAGGCGGGAAAAAAAATGAATGAATGAAGATTCCTGCAAAAAGTAAAAGTGAGAGAGAGGTCTTGAATATTTATTATTATTAGTTCGATTTATATGCCACCCTTTTCCGGAGACTCAGGGCGGCTTACAATGCGTTAAGCAATAGCCTTCATACTTTTGTATATACCTGCTTAGTAGGGTTTTTGCTGCCCCCCCCCAGCGGTGTTCTATTTTATACAAAGTCAGCTTATTGCCCCCACAAACCGGGTCCTCGTTTTACCTACCTCGGAAGGATGGAAGGCTGAGTCAACCTTGAGCCTGGTGAGAATTGAACTCACAGTAATTGCAGGTAGCTGGCAGCTAAATACTACTTTAACAGTAGTTTAGTCCACTGCACCACTAGGCTCCCCATAATAGGTATGGGGAGAAAATATAGTTGCAATCAAAGAGAACAAAGAGGAGAGAAGGATTGAAAGAGGCAAAGAAAATGCAGATGGTGTTTTTAAAATATTTTTTAATCCCATCTTTATTATTTTTACAGACAGTGAACATATCCAATACACCTTTCTCCTCCTATTTTTCCCACAACAACAACCCTGTGAGATTTGTTGGGCTGAGAGAGAATGACTAGTCGAAAGTCACCCAGCTGGCTTTCATGCCTAAGGCAGGACTAGAACTCACAATTTCCTGATTTCCAGCCTCATGCCTTAACCACTAGGTCAATTGGACTCTTTGATGGAATTTAAACATTGTTTTGGAAGTGATTGATGAAGGTAAACAGTGATAATCGAGCAGGATAAGTGGCATCAAAAATAAAAACGCTTTAAATGATTTGGGATGAAAATGAAAGAATACCGGAAGTATTTTAGAGATACGTATGAGAAAGGTAGTTGCATATTAAAAAATGGAACTGAAACAAATGCTATTAAGTGTTAATACCTGAGGAAAAAACAATGAAAAGAAAAACATTAATGCTATGGAAAATATTGAAAAATGATGGTTCTGCAGCTGTAGCTGAGATAATTGGAAAAATCTAGGATACCAATAGACGTCGAGTTGTAATGTAATGGTAGTTGGGACCTGTATTGCCATTGCTAAGCAATGCAGCCATAGAGCACAATGTCACATGACCATATCAGTGGTGGGTTGCCCCCAGTTTGGACAGGTTCACAAGAACCGGTAGTAAAACTGGTGGGAGGCCACGTCCACCGCCCCGGATGTCGTCATCAGCGATCTGCGCATGTGCAGAAGCAAGGCGCGTGCGCAAACAAAGCATGCACAAGCATGCGCGATCCCATTGCAAACTGGTAGTAAAGGTAAGTAGAACCCACCCTTGGACCATATGATTTGGCAATGGCAGTCTCGGCAGTCGCCGTTGCTATTGTAAAACCTCAAGATGCACAAATCATGAAATGAGTCCCAGGTGAGGAGCCTGAGAGGGCAGAGGGGATGGGTAAGTCCAGTGCAGTCTAGATACAATTCAGAGGCTGGGGGAAGGGGCTGGGAAGACTGGTGCAGGCTGCTTGCAAGTCAGGAGAGGCCAGGAGAAGATTTGAGAGGGTCAATGCAGGCTATGTGTGGGTGAGGTGATGGTGCTACAGGCAGAAGAAAAAGCAAGAATGACTTATTGAAATGACTTGCACCTTGACTGTTGGCTTCCATTGAATTTGCCTTTGATAAGCCAGCAGTGTCTGCAACCTTATAATTGCAAGCCGAGAATCTGAGCATTTAGATTGTAATCAAATGACCATGGGGTTGCTACAATAGCCAGAGCTTCTAGATTCGTTAGTACATCCATTTTTTTTCAGCTGTAACTGTAATGGTCACTGAATGAATGGACATAAGCCAAGGACTATGTGTACAAATGTGGTCTCATTATGGAACGGCCACTCACAACATGTGTATGTGTGTGTACTATATTTGTGCCTGACAATAAAAGGGATGTCATTATTGTTCTCTGGAACAAAGGAAGCAGTAACAAAAATGAATTACAGGGAAATTAGTTTGTTTAGCACACCTGGAAGTTGTTTATCAGAATTCTAATCAAAAGAGCTCAAAAGGGAAATAGCAAAGTTTGGGATGTGTTGTGTGGATTCATGCCAGACAGTAGGTGTCCAGACTGTTTTTTTGTTCCTTAGCAAAAGGAGAGGTGCATGAATGTGGGAATGTACAAATATTGATTTACAGAATATGTCTGATAATGTGAGATGAATGAAACGTGAAAAATGAAAGTATCTGCATGTATGAATACACATCTGTCAAATTTGCTGTATAGAAATCAGTATTATGTATGTCAGGAGAAACATAAAAACAAATAGAATGCACTGGCAGTTGTGTGGCAAAATACAAGAAGAGAAGGCTCAAGAATTAATACAGGATTGTATACCAACAAAGTATATGGAGATGTTTTGGTCAGTGAGGATCAGATTGCATGTTACATATATCAAAGATGACTGAATGGATTGAGAGGAATGGGAAGATTGAGAAAGTTGTAGCTGGATAAAGCTGATCAGATTATCAAAAGGAAAGAGGTGAAAAATGCAAAGAACTAAAGGCAAAGTAAGAAGCAGCATGAAGATATGGGATGAAAATGAATGAACTATGTTTTTTAAAATTAAATTCAGCATTGGTCATGTTCCTGTTATTGCTTTATCTTGGTCCCCATTCATCTTTTTAACCTTCCCAGGAAACCATACTTGAAAAATAAATGTAATTTTCTCCATCCCACTCCAAAATTTTTCAGGAACTTACTTATCCCAGTTTGGGTTTTCCAGATCTAATGGGAATCAAATTCCCCAATGTATGCTCACTGGGAATTGTATATATTGGAAAGTACTGAATGACAGCGGTAAAATTGAGGCAAGCTTGCCTGTATGACTCTAAAATGGCAAAGCACTTCAAGAACTACTGCTCAGACTATCTGTCTTTCAGTGGGTCATGGCATGTGAGTGTAGTAATTGAGCCATTTCTTCATGGCGTTGCCAGTTTGTTTCTCTCTCTTGCTTCACTGGGGAATTATAGGCCAAGGTCTCTCAAAAGACAAGAATCCCACTCGATGTATTTCTCACCAGTTGCCATTAAAGATCCAATACACCAGTGGCTCTTCTGCTAGCCTATTCAGCCTCTCAACATGTCTGCTTGTAGTCAATCAAAAAGGGCGCATCTTGTTGCTGTCATGCACCAAGGCTCACAGACAATCCCCCAGGCCAGGCTTTCTCTCAGCAGAAATTTCTCTTCACAACATCTCCCCCATCCCAACCCTTGCTTTATTTTCACTGCACAGTGTTAACAACACAACGGTGACATCTGAGAGGACCGCAAGAAGTATGTTGCCCTTGTAGAGTCTATAGGTGGCAGGGATACAGGATGAGAAGATACTGCTTGGTAAAGGGCAGGGCAGGGTGGCAGAAGGAAGTTTACCCTCACTATTCAAGAAATTGTTTCACTCAGGTGACTTGGAGTCCGTTGTTGCAGAAAAACTGAAAACTGGTTCAGGCACTTGTATCTACTAGTGATCTGTGCATCAGAGAACACTGATGCACTTTTAACACACCAGATGGACCTTTCACATAGGGAGTTCATCAGTACAAGTCCGATCACACTGCCCAGTGCCAGTCATCCAGAGTGGGCAGCGAGGCTACCAAAGCAGCCTTGTAGCTCTGTAATTATTCTGGGTGGCTTCTTGCCCAACTTGTTTTCTAAAGATTGTTTTTCACAGTCTCCTACACATAAGCACTCATTAGACACACCCTCCACCCTCACTTTAGGAAAGCATTGCATAATGTGATCCTGCACATACGCGCGCACACACATACACACATACTCTGTGGCCCTTGACAACCACAGCAAATATATACATGAAAAAGTCAATAAACCAAAACAGAGAGCAGAAAATGTAATTTGGATAGCAAAGATGGAACTGACAGACCAGGAGGCAGAAACTGGCTGAAGGCATGCTGGAGCAGAAAAGCTTTCAAGCTTGATCAGGGAGATTGTCATCAGGGAGAAGCTAAAGGATTTCCTGAGGCAGGGCCTGCCAAAGCTGGGCCACGGAAAGACCCTCTCACATACCAGCACCAGTCAAGCCTCAGGTGTCAGCGATGGGATAAAAAACAGGTGGCTGATTCAGATAATCCCGCTTCAGGCTGCTTTATCTAATATTTAGATACTAGAGAGCGGGAATAGGCTGAGTTGAAAGGAGGTGATTCCGCAGATACGTTTAAGCCATTTCAATTTGCAAAATGAATGACCAAGTACATTGAGTTGAGATTAGAAATGACCTGGAAGCCAGGGGTCATAGATATAAGAATGAAGTCAGTTTTTGACTGGCTGATGGGAATTCCTAAGCATGGCTGGTCCTCCGGTATTTGCTCTTCTTAAGAAGTGATGTTTTGGGTGCTACAGCACTGGAGATTTTAAAGAAGAGATTGGACAACTATTTATCTGAAATGGTACCAGGTCTCCTGCTTGAGCAGGGGGTCAGATTAAAAGACCTCCAAGGTCTCTTCTGTTATTATGTTTTGTGGAAGAAACACAACTTTTATATTTAGGAAAAAGGGGGCTGTTGCCAATAAAATTACTGTACAAAATGTGGAGCCATTCACCATGGCTATGCAGAGTGGGCAGGGTTTAACTCCTAGATGTCTCAAAGGTGCTTTTTCAGGAGGCAACTGGACTTCCTTGTTTTTTCTTTTGAAGACGTTTCGCTTCTCATCCAAGAAGCTTCTTCAGCTCCTACAGGATAGTAGGGAATGGAAGGATTTATATTCCTTGAAGACAGCTGGTCATTTGCATCCTTTTAGAGGGTCCTTGGAGCACTTGGAGGTTTATCTGTGTCCTCAGGGTCACCTGAGTAGTGCTCCTGGTTCCTGTAGTCTGTAATTTTCCCCCCCTCTGGAAATCCATTCCTACTCCCACACCATTCAAAGGGTGTTCATCCCAAATTGTATAGCTAAAAGTCCCTCTAAAAGGATGCAGATTACCAGCTGTCTGCAAGGGATATAAATCCTTCCATTCCCCACTATCCTGTCAGAGCTGAAGAAGCTTCTTGGATGAGAAGCGAAACGTCTTCAAAAGGAAAAACAAGGAAGTCCAGTTGCCTCCTGAAAAAGCACCTTTGGGACAACCATGACCTGCATGACTGAGAATCTCTACGGATGTCTCCCCTTAGATTGACAAACGAGGCTTGTGGCATGACCCAGACACCTCATCCTTATGATGGCACCTCAAGAAGCATCTGTTTGTTTGTTTTTTAAGAGAAAGGTGCCTGTTTGGAGAAATGAAAGAACTGACTTTTCTATCTCTGCATGTACTTTCCCCTTTGTAGTGTGTGGCTGTGACCTAGCTCAGTCTGGTTTCTTCTTTAAAAATGGGGAATACATCTGCACCCACGACTACCAGCAGCTCTATGGCACCCGCTGCGACAGCTGCCAAGACTTCATCACTGGAGAGGTTATCTCAGCCTTGGGCCGGACTTACCATCCCAAGTGCTTTGTGTGCAGCATGTGCAGGTGAGTCAACTATCTAATAGCAATATGTGAACCCCTCAGGAGTGATGACGGTGAGCAGAATCTCCCTTGGGGAAAGTTGCAGTACTCGTGTAAAACCGCAGATTGCATTATAGCTTTGTTGCAATCAGTAGGCAGGTAGTCCTCGACTTACGGCCGCCGTTGAGCCCCAAAATTTCCATCGCTAAGTGAGACATTTGTTAAGTGAGCTTTGCCCCACTTTACGACCTTTCTTGCCACAGTTATTAAGTGAATCACCACAAGTTGATAAGCTAGTAAGCCAGTTGTTAAGCAAATCTGGCTTCCCCTGTTGACTTTACTTGTAGGAAAGTCGCAAAAACTTGGGACACCGCATGAAAGTCCCACATGACCTTGGGACATGGCAACGGTCATAACTATGAAACAGTTGCCAAGCATCTGAGTTTTGATCACATGATCATGGGGATGCTGCAAAGGTTGTAACTGTGAAAAACAGTTGTAATTCATATTTTTCAGTGCCATTGTAACTCTGAACGGTCACTAAACGGACTGTTGTAAGTCAAGGACTACCTGTACATTGCCTCTGCATTTTATCAGACAAGGGGGAGGGTAGAGTTGTCAAAACTGATTCTTTGTAGTTTGGGAAAAATAGAATCTAGATTGGAACATCCTATCAGTTGATGCCAAGGGTTGATGTCAATCCAGCAAGTTGCAAAAGAAACTTGGCCTCAACACTTAGAATTTGCTCCTTAGTTGGCAGAACTTCTCCTGAGAGTAGGTGGCTGTCTAAATGCATTTTCTTTCTAGCCTTATGTGCTCCTCTGGAATTTAACATCAACAGGTGTTTGGTTTCCTTTTCTTCTGCCTTGTTGTCCAAATAATTTATCCTGCACATAAAAATCTTGCCTTTTCAGCAAGTGGTCAAATAACTGATGTTACCAGCAGGGCAATGAAGGATCTCGAAGAAAAAGAAGAAGAAACGTGAAATTCAATCCTGAGCTACATATATTCTCTGTTATTGCAAGAATTGCAGGTAGTGCTGTACATACAACCATTAGGGTAGTGACCGTTTGAAGTTACAATGGCACTGAAAAATGGGATTTATGACCGTTTCTCACACTTATGACCATTGCAGCAATGGTCATGTGATCAAAATTTGGATGCTTGGCAAGTGGCATATGTTTATGACAATTGCCATGTCCTGGGGTGATCAGCTTTTTTGACTTCTGTCAAGCAAAGTCCATGGGGAAACCAGATTCACTTAACAACTGTGGTAAAAAAAAGGTTGCAAATTGGTGCAAAATCCACTGAACAACTGACTCGCTTAGCAACATACTTTTTGGGCTCCATTGTAGTCGTAAGTCAAAGACTATCTGTACTAGCTTCTGGCCACCTGTATCTTCTGAAACTTGATATCAGAAGCTTCTGCTTATTCTGAGTGAAAGACAGAGGGGTCCTGGGCGTTATCTCAAAAAATGCTTTCCAAAATATGTGACACTGTCCCAGGCACCACGGTAAGAGCTGTGGTGGTGCAGTGGTTAGAATGAAGTAATTCTGCCCACTGCCAAAAGTTTGATCCTGACTGGCACAAGGTTGACTCAGCCTTCCATCCTTCCATGGTCAGTAAAATGAGAACCCAGATTGTTGGGGGCAATATTCTGACTCTGTAAATTGCTTAGGGAGGGCTGTAAAGCATTATGGAGTATATCAGTCTAAGTGCTATTGCTATTCTTCATATGGTATACTTCCATGTGTTAGGTTTGAACTGCCATGATCCTTCACCAGCAATGATACTGGAGAAGACTTCCCTGAAAGATGAAGCAGCTATACATAAAAAAAATTCTGGGCAGAGGCCTTATAGAATGCCTAGATCAGTGATGGCTAACCTTTTTGCCATCACATGCCAAAAGTGGGGGGAGCACGGGGGGTCGCACGTGCATGCCCACACCATAATTCTATGCACCCTGCCCCCCACGAATGTGTGCGTGACTCCCCCGCTTTTGGCACGTGATGGCACGTTGGCCCGGTAGGCCTGTTTTTTGCTCTCCCCAGGCTCCAGAGCCTCTCTAGGAGCCTGGGGAGGGTAAAAATGGCCTTCCACACACCCCCGGAGGCCCTCTGGAGGCCGGCGGCCTGTTTGTCAACTTCCGATGGGACTGGAAGGCCGGTTTTTTTGCTCTCCCAAGGCTCCAGAGGCTCTCTAGGAGCCTGGGGAGGGCGAAAATGCCCCCCCGGAGACCCTCCAGAGGCAGGAAACAATGTGTTTCCCTACTTCTGGTGGGCCCAGAAGGCCCAAAGGAGCTGAGCTCGCATGCCCACCAATATGGCTCCGCGTGCCACCTGTGGCATGTGTGCCATAGGTTCGCCATCACGGGCCTAGATTGTTCAGAAGGGAAACTAATGGCAAGGAAATTCTATTTAGTTTAATCATTTCCCCAAATTTGATCCTTTGTCAGCAACAAAGTCTCAAATATGTTGTTTGAATATTGTTTTTAACTGGTTTGATACTTAAATATTGAGATAGAAATGCAACTGATAATTAAAAAGCAAAACAGAATAAATCACCGATGGCAAAGGAGGGGGAATATGATGAAAAGCTTCCACCATCCTGTCTTTCTGCCCTAGTCTAATTAAATTGCCTCCCTGGAAAAAATTGTTGCTTTGCTTTTTTCAATCCCCATTGTAAGTTAAAACTGTAATGTAAAAAAAAGGTATTAGAAAGCATAAAGACGTGAAGAACATATAATGGCCCTTATTGTCAATGGTATCACCCATACAGTTCTGTAGGTTCTTATAGCAGTTGTCTGATTGCAGCTGCCTTTACTGGCAGTGGAGGCAGTTGCTAGGGAAGGGAGCACCAAATTGCAAACTGAGTGCTGAAAAAAAAAGAAGATTTCTGCACAGGCTGCTGGGAAGACGTCTGCTCTTTCCTAACAAAAGCCGTGGTGTACGTTTGTCATTTCTCTAAAGGAAGAGAATCACCAATAAAACGCATGTACACAATTTGCAGACAATAACTTGACACGGAGAGAACAAGATGGATATAATTAGGCAGGAACTGGTTCCATACGTTATGATTATGTGACATTAATGAGATGAAGAAAGTGGGAAGCAAGCGCTGGGCTAATTCTGATTGTAGTGGCGATCTAATGATTAATTGGAGTTTCAATTGGATGTCCCTGCAAGAGGAAGGGTGATTAGCACTCTCCCAAGGGAGTGGTGAAAATGCTGTGACCTATGAATGATTCTAGGTCTCAGAAACCCTCTGGTAAGACAAGTCTATTACTGTGTCTTTTTTAATGTTTGGCTTGTATTAGAGAAACATTAGAATTAAGAAAAAGTGTCAGTGAATGACAGGAAAAGGTAGTCTTAAATTAACCCAAGTAGCTTTACGTGTCTACGCCTACAAACTGATGCCATTACCCGTGCCGTATTTTGTCAGAAACACTAAGCCGAAGTTTCTTTGTTGTGGAATCTGCACCACCCTTTCTGTAGCAACCAAGGCTGTTTTCCACTTAGCCTAAATGGCATTGTGAGTCCACCATCAATCACTAACCTTCAAGGTAGGGTGATACCAGTGTGGGAAGTTATTATTGACGTGATCCATGCCATTTGTTTCTTTCAAGCATTACCAGGAAATAGCTGGTAAGCTAATCCCCAAGTTGCCCCAGTATTGAATGGCAATAGCAACAAACCGCAATAGAGTGTAAGTACAGGCTAAGAGGAATGCTGAGCAAGGTAAAGGTACATTTACAAGTTGAGTAAGGTGGATATGATGCTCAGATTAGATTTCCCAGATGATTGAGCAGAGGTGAGCAGTTTGGCAAGTCTGATGTCAATCACTTTCCAAAAGATTTTTTTTTCTCCACAACCTGGGATAGATAGATAGATAGATAGATAGATAGATAGATAGATAGATAGATAGATAGATAGAGAGATAGAGAGATAGAGATAGAGATAGAGATAGAGATAGAGATAGAGATAGAGATAGAGATAGAGATAGAGATAGAGATAGAGATAGAGATATCCACTGATCACCTGTTGCGGTGGGTTAAAGGGCAAGAATTGGTACTTAATGCTCAGGTTGTAGTTTATCTCTTTCTATTCAAGTTCCTTTGTTTAAACTTTATAGGAGGGGTATTACTGTTTCCACCAATAGAAACTGATCACCTATTTGATCCCATGCTTTAAAACGGGCATTTAGTAAAGTCTTAGCCTTGTTCTTTTGTATGGGAAATTAATACATTGAAATAAATCTATTCTTCTCAGCTTTGGTGTTCAAGATGTTTTATATACATCCTTACATCTAGAATAGGGGATCCCCAATTGCTTCAGCTCATTGATCTCTTCATGAAATTTCAGATTGTCCATCGTCTCCCAAACATTTATTATATAAAAATAAATAAATACTACTTTAACTAATAGTAGCACAAATAGTAGCAACAACCACCCTTTAAATATTCCCTTCAATCCCTGGGGAAACCCTGATCTAAAGGAAATATAAAATCCTTCTCTTCATTCTAATGAAATGTCCTTTGCTGCTAGCTACTGTATATACCCTCCACTCTGGGTTAATTTCTCCAATTATCTGTCTCTAAGGAGGGGAGTAATTAGTTTGCATTTCTCAACTCAAGCTTAAATTCATCTTTTCTGCCACTATAATGAATTTAGAGTAGTTGCTCTTCCTTCAGAAACCTAGATTTCAATATTAACTCCATTCATTTATGCTCATAGAGAAGATAGTTTTCCTCTTACTAGTGTTTAACCAATTTAAAGCAAAGTATAGTTAAAGTATGCTAACCAGTATTAATTATTCTGAGCTGATGTGTTTAAGAATAATCATATATTAGGATTTCTCATGGTTTTTCTTAGGGTTCACAAAGCTTTTGTAGTATTTTCCTTGTTTAATCATATGGAGGGAGGCTGTCGAATACTATTGAAAGTGTTATTTCTGTCTTAACTATAATAAGGCAAGCTTCTGTCTTTACATTTTACAGGAAATAAGTTGATCATTTAACCATGCACCTTTAATTCTGTTTCCTGGTAGATATTGGCACTTGTGCCTATGTGCACATGTCTTATATTCCAGCCCATTTCATCTCATGTATCTCCTTTTGTATACAGGCACGACTTGAGTGCACATAAATAATAGTTGTTGCTAATTCTTGTAATAGCTGCTTATCTGGGTGAAAAGGAAACTCTTTGTATTTTAAAGTATACCAACTGTCTGCATTACATTCTTCAACTGTCCGGGAGAGGTTTGCCAGTTCTTTGACCATGCTATTTGATGTCAAACAGTCAGTTCTGCAGGTTTGCCCAACTAACATCATGTCTGCAAAAAAGTCAGTCTTCTACCACAACTTCTTTTTTTAAGACAAGATAGGGATGTGAAGAAAGCACTGAAACCATCAAGGTGTTGAAGGAAAACAGAGCAATCTCATAGCAAAATAAGGGGAAAGATGGAAAAGAGACCAGCAGATACCGAAATTGCAGAATTGCCTGCTCCCAGGTATATCTGTCTGTCCCTCTGTTAAACACTGTAATCTTATTGGATTTAGGAAGTGTCCCTTTTCAATGGCTGTTCCTATAGCAGTGATGGTTAATCTTTTTGGTGCTGAGTGCCCAAAGCATGCATGCCCGAACCCCCAAAATGCAATGCGAGCATCCCCCGTGCATGCACCCCCCCACCCGATTTTGGCTTTCAGGTTGGTGCAGGAGGCTTTCCTGGCTCAAAATGGGGCCTGGGGGGGGGGCTCATGCAGCTCCCTGTGCCCTGTTCTGGGCCTGGAAAGCCTTCTGCACCAACCTGGAAGCCAAAACATGGCAGGAGGTTACTTCTGGCCAATGCGAGCGCCCCCACGCATGTACCCCCGTGCATTCACAAGTGCATCTCCCGCATGTGCCCCACCCCCCATGCATGAGACCCGACGACACAGCTGCGCAGTGGAGCTGAGCCAGGGTGACGGCTGGCGTGCCTGCAGAGAGGGCTCTGGGTGCCACCTGTGGCACACGTGCCATAGATTCACCATCACGGTCCTATAGTCTGGAGTGATCTCTGTCCAATATTCTACTGGCTTGCTTTTAGAAAAGCAATGAAGTCCTGACTTGGAGTTCCCTTTTAGTTATTTTAATTGTTTCGTTTGGCTTGCTGTTTTATATATGGTACAGGTTTATTTTATTTTTAACAATTTGGGGTTGTTTTCTGCTAACATTTTATTCCTGTTGTACACTTCTCAGAATCAAGTTGTTGAGTAATCTTATAAATACTTGAAACAATCAACCAAACAAATATTTGCATTGCATGAGATTTCAAATAAATTTCCTGGACATCAAGAAAACTGCAGTTTGGGCACACTCCATTAAAAAAATGACAGCTGCTTACAGAAGGTCCTTCCCCACTGCTTAGTAGAATGAACCAGAAAAAAATAATCTATGTGGATATGAAATTTGCTATCCTACTGCTCTTCCTTATCCTTGATTGATTCTGTTCTATTTCTCTTCCCAGTCCCTGCCTGTTGTCTGGTTTCCCTCCAAGTTAATGAGTGACAAAGCCTAACAATTTACATTTCTTTGAAGCTGTTTTTGAACAGTGTCAGAATAAGGGAAATAATACTGTACAGTTTGCATGATTTTGGCCTGTCTTACTACAAGGACAAGATGAGGACACTGTCATAGGAGTAAGGCAAAAATAATAATAGTAATAATACATATTGCAAGGACATATTTGTACCTTAGTTAGCTATCAGTGAAAAGCGCAAAGCTGCAATGACCAGATGCCTTTGGATCAAGACCTTTATCAGCTAAAGAAACATGAACATAAGCGTATTAATTGTAGCACTGAGTTTCTCTTAATTACACTCATCCACAGGATTTCATGCCAACTCATTGTCTTCTAGAATCTACTAATCATTCTAGCCTAATAGGCTCACTTTTAATGGGCCAATTTTCTCATATCCTTGATCGCCTAAGAAAATAGTGCAGCCCCTCATTTCCAAATAATATCAAGTGAAAGGCAATTCATGGAAGTTATCTTTGATGAACATTAGCTCCAGGTGCATTTTAGATCAGAGAAAACCTTGGCTGAATTCATTCAGTTTAAACCAAGGGATAGACCTTCAGGGTTCTTCTGACTCCCCAGTCTTTTAGCAGCTTTCGTGACTCTCAGTCACAAGTATCTTTCTGGATCATGCTTGTGGATGAGGTTTAAAGGCCTGAGTATCCAGGATGATCTTAAAAGGCCTGAGTATCCAGGACAAGTAGTCCCAAAAAGTGGTGTTGAGGGTCAGTTTAAATAATACCTTTATTGTAGTCACTGCCCTGGTTTAGTTTCCAGATCTATTTAAAAGAGCTGGTTTTGATCCTTAAAAAGCTCTGTGACTTAAGTTTGGGATAATTCAAGAAGTGGGACCAGTGCCATTGCTTTGTGGCTGGCATTGGAGATGCTTCTGCTTAGCTTACTATGGAGAACGATTAGACTAGTAAGAAAAACAAGACAGGATTTTTTTCCATAGAGTTCTTGTGCATATGGAATCAGTTGTCACCTGGCATTTATCACATAATTTAGCAGGCATTTGCAAGGGTGTTAAATGTACACATATTTTTTTCTTCTGAATTGATTTTATCTTCCCAGACTTTTAGCTGAAGACATTTCATTCATTTGTTTGTATGCTGTCAATTACTAAATCACTGTTTGCATTTTGCAGCCTGCTATGTTTGTTCTGGTGCTTATTTTATTTTTGTTCTAATATTGTGTTGGATTTTTAAGACCATGCTTGAGATGGTGTCCATAAAGCATGTATAAGCAAGTGGGTTCCCCCCCCCACCCAATAAATCCCAAAGCCACATGGAGCAATAAAGACAAATTAGCAATAATATTTTAAACTCAGCATATCACCCTTCTACATGTGCACATTCAGATATACTCTGTGGCCCGCCACAAAACACCTTCTTCCTTCCTCCTCTACATGCTGAGATATTATGGGTCGATCCATCAGCTTAATTAGAAAAAGTCTGTATTCAGGAAGCAGCATCCTCATGCTGTGCCTACTCCATCCAAACCAGGGGTGTCAAACTGGATTTCATTGAGAACCGCATCAGGGTTGTGTTTGACCTCAGGAGTGGGAGGGTGTGGCTAAGGTGAGTGTGACCAGCTCAATGTCACTTGTGTCAAGGGCACCTGTGGGCCAATCGGGCTCCTGAGCTCCATTTTCAGCTGTGATGACCTTCCTCTGCCGCGGCCCTCCCAAGCTCCATTTTCGTTGGCAGAGGCACCGTGGGCCAATCCTTCGCTGTTTCCAGGGTGGCCCCGCAGGCCAGATCTAAGCACTCCATGGGCTGGATCCAGCCCATGGGCCTTCAGTTTGACACCCCTGATCTAAACCATCTCCTGGCTCTCCAGGACACAATTGTTTGACTAGCAGTGGAAAGATTATATGCCAAGGAAGAGGATGACAAGGTGAAATCTTCCCAGATATCCTTCCTTCATCAGCAAATTTGCAGAAACAATGGGAGTGTGGGGAAAAACTCTGGGAACACTGCAGACCTGCATTAGAACTTACACAAGGTGTTGATAGTGCTGCATAAGTGACTTACAATCCTGTAAAGATAACTTGAACTAAATGGTGACAATCAAATGAACCATGGTTGGCTTTGAAAAACTATGCAGTATTAAACCCAATTAGTGTTAGGGCGACAGATAATTAGGAAATATCTGTAGGTTAGACTTGGAAATCAAAAGGCCATCTAGCAACAAGAAGCTCTTTCCATACTGTTGCCAAGAAAACTATATGGACATGTCCATGAAGTCACTAGCAGTTGAAACTTTATCTAAGTGTTTTAAAAGTAAATAATACTGGGCTGAATTCCTGAATTACTGGTTTGGGGAGTGTGGGTACATTATTCCCCTTCCCAAGAGATAACCAAGGTTTCTTCTGAGCTTTGCAGAAAATTTTGAATCAGACTGTTTCAAATTCAGAACAAATTCATTTCAGTGCCCTATTTTGAGCATGAAGCTCAAATTTTGAGCATTTGTATTCTGAATGCAAAATTGGTGGTTTTGAATATTTTTGGAAGACACTCAAGCTCAAAACAATGCTTTGTCTATCCCTGTCTAAAGTAAAAAAAAAAAAAAACCTCTCTCCTTTTATAAAACAAAACAAAATACTAAATCCCAAATCATTAAATTTGGGTTTTAAAAGTCCATTCTCTGGATTGATGTAGGTAACTCATTTCTTTTGCTCTTGAACATATTTTGGAAATACTTACAATTGTTTGTCTCTTTAACTAGGTTTCTTTGTTTTTGTTCTTTTGGAAACTTCCCAACTGGTTCATCTTATGGTAAAAGGAAAAACCTCTCCACTTTGTGGTGATTTTCAGACTCTTTCCAAGAGGTGGTTCTAGCAGATAAACAAATTCAAAGATAGCTCCTGGGCCAGTGAGAATTACTTTAAACATTTTTTCTTCAGAAACAGGATGGGCAAGTTCTCTGAGATCCTCATTTGGCAACATCATGTCAAAACTGTCATCTTTCATCTGCCATGTCTTTGCTTATACAGTATTTAAAGTAGTCAACAAGTAATTAATTCTGTGGTATGCATCAAACTGCTTTTCTCAACTCAAGCAGAATTAACCAAGAGTGAGAATTGTCTAAATATGAGTCATAAAAACCCACAAAAATAACAAAAAACAATTGAGTTGTCAACAAAATTTCCCAAGCAAGCAGGCGTCTCATACTTCATTCATTTCCATAAGCATTAAATTCCAAATTTCATCAATAGACTCTTTCAAAAATAGAACGTACATGAACCATAATAGCTGACTCAATGCAATAATAACTGGTGAAATACCATTCATACTGGTAATAATCTATGCATTTCTGATGTCTTGCTTATTTTTCCTTGTTTTAGGAAGCCCTTTCCTATTGGAGATAAAGTGACATTTAGTGGCAAGGATTGTGTTTGCCAAACTTGTTCCCATTCACTGATTAGTAACAAACCTATCAAGATTCATGGACCAAGCCGTAAGTCATGTTGATTTCTCTTCTTTATACAGCATCCAAAGAAGATTAAGGGAAGAAAGTACTGCAATGACCATAAAAGCCAGAGGTCATCTAGCAACTTAGAACTGTTTATTGCTTCTTTATGCAATCTAGTAGGATTTTTGCCCTCAACTGATTTTACATTTTATAATTTGGCTTTATTTGCTCCCATGTACTGTTAAATGTTAAAAGGCACCCAGCGTAAATTATAACCATACTAAATACGAAGACTTTTTGAAAGGACACATCTCAAAGAAATTCTTTTCCCGGTTCAAGCTATTTGGGATTCTTGGCAGAGAAAGGAAAGTTGGATATCTTATAAATAATGATGATGGCGATGGTCTTCATCATCACTATCACCACCAACTTGATTTATTTAAAGTATTTCTCTATCACTTTGAATTATAGAAAATCTGAAAATAATTTACAATATCCATAGTCATTAAATTCTGGATTAAAACAAGGTAAATGATGATGATGATGATGATGATGATGATGATGATGATGATTTTTAAAAAATCAAAATATGCAAATGTGATCATATATATTTGTGGTGGCCAAAAGCCGCATTTAACTTTTTCTTTTGGTGGGGGAAAGAGGTTCAATTTACTCATGTTTTACATGAACAACATTGTTGTAGCCTTGCACTTTTTATTCTTTTGGTTATGCTGAACTTCTGGTCTGACTTCTGATTTCATGATTTGGAAGACTCAAAGGGCTAGAACACAGTCTTTTCATAATCTTCATCCCTTGGTGTAGTCTTGACTTGAAGGAGTGCCTAAGGCTGGCATTGTCCCAGTGGGGTAGCTGCTATTTGTTTCTCCTTTGCTGTCAGACAGAAAGCACAATCAGATCAGCTAATTCTACTGCATTCTAAGGTTACATTAACAGAATCCTGCAAGTCTGAAACTACAATTCTTCTCCCATCTCCTTTACCCCAAGAAATTTGGGAGGGTCTCTTTCAAGCTTCTATCCAGCTATGGACTATGCTGTCTCTTATCTGACCAGTCCTAGGCAGCATGACTGGGCTCAGTCTCCCAAGGTCATTCCAACATACCATTATACTTCTTGACCTCTCTTGAACTGAAGCACTGATGAATTTTTGAAATGCCCACAAACCAGAAACCTTTCAGGCCCCTTCCCATTATCTTGAGTTTTTCCATGAAAGCTGTGGGGTGAGAAAAAGAATGCTGTGCTCCTGTTTCAGCATTGTTTCCTCAATCACACTCTGATGATGTAGTGTAGGAGAGAGCTTCCCTGCTTGTGGCTTGGTAGATCATGCTGAAATCTGTGGCTAGAAAAGGGCCCAGAAGCAAAAGCCACCTTCGGGTTATATGATGACGTCTATGGCCAACCATGCTAAAAAGCTGTTGCTTACTGAACATACAAAGACAGGGAAGTCTTGTAAAAGCCTTGTAATGAGCAATCTCTATTGGGCTGCCTACCAGCTGGATGCAATTGCACAGCAAGCTGTGTGATCTCACAGTGGAGGCAATAGATGTTACTGTCTCCTTAGACGCATTGATTACTAAGAGAAGAATGACACAGTATTCCTTGCTACAATCACAAAACAGTGCTTCCCTGTGACAGCGGGCTCTTGGCAGAGCTGTTCGAAGCTGCCAAACAAGAACACAGTGGCCACAATTCAACAGGAGAATTAAGGGCTCGTAAGCCTGTTGATTTAAGCTGCTGACACATACAGAACTCCCAGCTGGGCTGCAGGCTGTATGGTTCAAGGTGGTAAAATTCACATTTCTTTCTTCGTTTCTACAGAAACATGAGAGCTGTAGTGTAGCTGCATTTGGAAAAGGTAGTTGCTTCTCTGCTCCTATTTTCAATATTTAAAAGGCTGTCTTAGTGCAGGAAAATCACAAAGTGAACAAGAATTCCACAGTGTTGGCTCACCCTTTCCCAGATCAGCTGAGTTGAGCTAAAGAAAAAGCTGTCCGAGTCCAAGGCTTGCTTTGTTTTTAAAGTTTGCGTGAAGATGCAAACACAGATGTTCTGTAGGGGCCAAAAAGAGGGAGGAACGGGTCTTGCAATTTCACTGGACAACAACTGTAAAAATAACAGAAAGTGGAAATGTGTACTCAAAACACTTGAGGCCCCTTTCCTCATTACTTTCTGTATTTGTAGTATCTCCAGATAATTGACACACTGTTGTTATTGTGCTTTAGTAAAGGTAAAGGTTCCCCTCGCACATATGTGCTAGTCGTTTCCAACTCTAGGGGGCAGTGCTCATCTCCATTTCAAAGCCAAAGAGACAGCGCTGCCCGAAGACGTCTCCGTGGTCATGTGGCCGGCATGACTAAATGCCAAAGGCGCACGGAACACTGTTATCTTCCCACCAAAGGTGGTCCCTATTTTTCTACTTGCATTTTTTACATGCTTTCGAACTGCTAGGTTGGCAGAAGTAACAAGTAACTGGGACAAGTAACAGGAGCTCACCTCATTACACGGCACTAGGGATTCAAACCACTGAACTGCTGACCTTTCGATCAACAAGCTCTGCATCTTAGCCACTGAGCCACCACGTCCCGCTATTGTGCTTTAGTATTTTGATAAAGGATGCCTCATTAATTCACTTCAGAATAGAGCTGGAAGGGACCTTGGAGGTCCTCTAGTCCAACCCTCTGCTCAAGCAGGAGACCCTATACCATTTCAGACAAATGGGTGTCTGATCTCTTCTTAAAAATGTCCAGTGTTGGAGCATTCACAACTTCTGGAGGCAAGTCATTCCACTAATTGTTCTCACTGCTAGAAAGTTTCTCCCTAATCCCAGGTTGCTTCTTTCCTTGATTAGTTTCCATTCATTATTTCTTGTCCTGCCCTCTGGTGCTTTGGAAAATAAGTTGACCCCTCTTCTTTATGCCAGCCCCTCAAATAGTGGAATACTGCTATCATGCCACCCTAGTTTTTCTTTTCTCTAGTCTTCTTTTCTCTAATAATCTTCTTTTATTCCTCATGAAATCAACCAATGCCACAGAAGTTAATAGAATATTAAATGCCATTCTTACCTACCCTTTGGTTCAATGTTTGCCCCTATAATGAACTTTTTAGAACAATGAAAGTGGCAATTCTCCTTTTAGGTTTAAATACTTCCGGATGTCTGCTCATGGATAAGATGACATGGCTTCTTGAGTTAGTTTCTGATCATGTTGTTAGAAATACAATATGTTGGATCTACAAATGCCATTCACAGGATGCTTCTTTAAAACCAATGGGGATTGTGTGCAAAGTCTGACAGTTTGTGCAGGTGTCCCATGTTAACTAGCATCTGAAGGACATCACTGGAATTCATTTTACATCAAAATGCTTTTATCTGGCTCTGCTCTAGTGTGATATTACATAGTAAAATCAGGGTGCTATGGAATACTATGCATTGGACAAATAAAAACTCATTAAGCTGCTAAGATACTTTGAAGCTAGCTAATACCTTTTCTATAATATAGGATGGGTGTATGGATAGATATGCACATCCTATATTATCCCAAAGTAGATATTGTTCTGCTCTTTTTTTCTCTCCTTCTATACTTTTGTTCTGTCCAATTTGTTTTTTTTTTTCAAAAGTCTGCTTTGTACTGTTTTTCTTAGTATCTGCCATTTATGCACTTTTTAGAATATCTGATACAAGAAATCTCTCCTGGTTTAATACATCTTGTTTGCACTTCCCTCCTATCTGTATCATTCCCATTATTTTTGAGTTGCAAAATATGTTATAAAAATTATACTGAGAAGTATAGTTATGTTCCAGATAAGTTAGAGGTTCCATAAGGATGAATTAGATAAGCTTTCATCAAATTGTGACTGTTTAAGGCAACCCTGTAAACCTACATGAAAGATAAGAAGAATATCCAGTTCTCAAAGAGAAAAGACTTTGTCACTGCATCCAACCAGATAGCCCAGCTGTTTTTGCAACCAAAAATTCAGAAACAAGCCACAGTGAATAGAACTGCATAGGACAAATCTGCTGAATCAGCACACAAAGAAAGGCTCATCTCTTCCGCCCCTACTCAGTTTCCAGGAACCTGTTAAGAAGCCACTGAGAAAAAAACACCAACATAAGACCACAATATCTTTTTTGCCTCTCCCCCCCCCCCCCCCCCACCCCCCCACACTTATCCTCCTCATTCTCTTTAATACTATCAGGTCATATGAAGCCTGCATCTTCCTCTCTGAAATTCACTCTTCACCTTAGATGTACAGCTCAGGTTACACAAAGCCTCCATGGATAATTCATAACTACGACAAGCAACATTCAGGATATAATGTGCAAAGAACAGCATCTCCCCAATATCTTTTTTTCTGCATCGGCTCCTGCTCTCACTGTATCTCCATGGGTGATGTTTGGGGACAACTAGCTGTGACTTCAGTAGGCAAGGCAGGAAGAGAACCTTGTTAGCATACAAGATTCTGGGATTAGAGTATTGCTTGATATATGTGCATAGCAAAAGTTCCCTGGAGCTACCCTAGCAGTGGAATCCACTGCCAGGACAAGTGGCAAACCAGGGATTGTGTTGACAGGTGAGCGATGAGAGAGAAGAGTGATCAGAGGAGATTGTCAGTCTGCCTTGCATTTATAAACAACTCCTCCAGCACTTAGAGGTGTGTAAGGTGAAAATGCAGCAATGGTCAGAATGGCTTCATAAAATACCTTTGGCAACAGCTTATTCCATAGCATGTACCAGTGAGATTTTTCACAACTATTGACCACGCCGATGAGCACCCTACAAATTAGTGATTCCTTGACAATCTAAGAACTGTTTGATGCTGAGGAGACTGAAAGAGCTAATCATAGCTGGGACAGCCACCCCTTTCAGGCCCATGGGCTTCCTGCTACTGAACTAAACAGCAAAGGAAACATGAAAGGAAGGAAGAGAGATAAATACCTAGGCACACACCAAAACTGACTGTGGTAAAGGTTAGGAAGCAGCTTTTACTACACTGGCTAAAACCCAAAAATCACCTTCTAGTCCAGATTTTGTAAAACAGAGGAAGCCTTCCATAAATATTTAACTAATATATAATAAATAATCCTTCCCATCCCAACCCCACCATTCTTGATTTTTAGCAATTCAGCTTGGTCTAACCATTAAGCCAGGTGATCTGTAATATCCTTTGAGTACTAATACTCTGGTATTAGGTCAACATTCAGCATAGCTGTTCTTTGCTTTCCTTGGCAAATATGCCAGGTTCTTCTTGACTCTCAGTTAGATGTTTTGGGGTTTTTAATTTTAATTTTTCTTTTTTGCTAAAGCAAATTTTACATCTGCATTATCCTATCTAAATTGGTTCAAGCAGCAGGATCAAGATTAAAATGACAGTCTGTAATTCTCCAGGAGAGGAAAAGGCCAATGCATCAGTTTTTTTGTGTTAACATAATTTATACTTGCTAGCAGTTAAACAAGGAAAAACAATTCCATAAAAATGAATTAAAACAGAAAGTCAGTCATTTCTGTATAAACTATATGGAATATTTGCATCCTACAATTAGAATTATTCAGGATAATTAAATCTTTTAGTGTGAAAGAGGTAAATGTATTCCATATTGAAACCATTTTATGTATTTGTGATTTATTTTATTCAGTTGGTATAGCCACCCATCTTACCAAGGAAATTGTTCATTAATTTCTGTTAATTCCCTTCAGGTGAGGTCTGAACAGGAATTTACATGTATAAATAGTTTCCAAGACTCCCAATGTTATGATTCATAATGTGGACTCAGTATTGAACATTTTACATATTCCACTAGGTTTACACACTCTGATAGCAATACTGCTGATGTTGCTGTTAGCAGCTGCTCTATAAACAAGGTGGTGTTTGGCGTTACAGTGATTTATCAACAAATCCAAGAACATATAGAGAGACAAGGTACCCATGAAAAGCATTCATACGACTTTCATATACATTACAACCTGTGGTCACGAACACTTCTGACCACGACCAAATTGGGTTCCAACCATAAAATTCACAATTATTATTTTTTTGTGGCCAATTTCCCTTTCTGTGCCATTTTTTTTGTAAGCGCCAAATTTCCAAAATTAGGTTCAGGTCACGACCAAATCGGGTTGCGACCAAAGTTATGGAACAAATTATGGTTGTGACCATGTAACTGGTTTCTCCAACCTGAATGGTCTGAACATATTTTGGAATCAGTTTATCAACCTTTTTTTAAACCAGTATGGGCAGTCATGATTGGGGATGGGGAATCCAAGACAGCACAGTCTTGGATAGCTGTCTCTCCAAAGAGAAAACCATGCAATTTAGAGGAAATTACACAACTGAGGTTCTTCACATTGACTTTTATGCAAAATAAAGGACCTTTCCTACTAGTCATTTTGTTTGTTCCTTCCTGGAGATAGTCCTGTGTATCACAAATCATTTCGAACACTGGAACCCTTTGCTTCATGTCTGTCATTCATATTATTGTTATTTATGGTTCCAGAAGGCATGTTATTTGTAGACACTGTTGTCTTCTATACAGATTTTAAATCTATTTGAGATGTTCCTACTTCTGCTGTGTGGTCAGTTCTCTGTGTTTCTTTTGTTCCTTAGAATGTGCAGGTTGCAAAGAGGAAATCAAGCAAGGTCAGTCCCTCCTGGCTTTAGAAAAACAGTGGCATGTCAGCTGCTTCAAGTGCCAAACCTGTGGAATCATCCTGACTGGAGAATACATTAGCAAGTGCGTGTTTCCACTTCTTCCCTATGTACATTTCAGCTGTATAAGCTAGATGGGTGGGGATCCCTTCAAAGTGAAGCATCAGATGTTATTCTCGAAGAATTCTGAGACTTCTGTACAACTTTGCATATTAGAAGCGAGCAGCGAGAAAGAAAGCAAAACAGATTTGTACTTTCTTTTTTACCCTTCTCGGCTAATGCACAGAGAAGTGAGATGTAGATACCTACATCTCACTTCTCACTATTAGACCAGAATCTAATAATTTTGTGTACTAATGGAATGTGTGCGTTTCAGTGCACATAATGCATCACCTTCACTTCTGGAGGAAGCAAGAGCCACCTGTGATTCCTTTTGCCTCACTTGTATGGATTTACTGGAAGGCAATAAAGGCAACCTTCTGAGAACCCCTTACTCCATAAGGAAGAGGCTTTTGAATGAGATTTTCTAGTTTTTGTAAAATCAGTACTCTTTCCAGTTGCTCAGTAAGAATTCCAAAAGTGTCTTTAATTTGAACTCTCTGGGCTGAAATTCTGAAACTCTTCAAGTTACACATGAAGGCTCTAGGATGGTTGCAAGTACCTGGGTTTCTGGAATCATAAACTAGTCTATTTATCTATTTATTTGATTATTTGCTAATCCAATCAAAGATTATATTGTCCAACCCCCACTAATTCAGGAATTAGTCCCAGTTCATTTATTACCCCATCCAACCATTCTATTTTCTACATCCTCAACAGCACTAGCACATTGACTAATTCTTTGTAAACATTATTTTAATTTTTTTGTATTTAATCCTCATTTACAATAGCTTTGCTTAGTTCATCCATCATAGCAAGCTTTCTGACAATGATCTTGTTGTACGTACACATTTCAATGAATAATCAAGTAATAATGGTGCCAGAAAATAATTATCTCTGGAGAGAGAATGTAGATCAAGTTTTATGCAGGTGTCATTCAACAGAGCACATAAATGCTGCAGTATAAAATGCTTATATCTGCACTATGGAGATGAAGAGAGAATTAAATAAATGATGTTGCCCAATCCCAGTGCCAAATAATATCTGAAGCTGTTTTAAGAAAAACAGTGTTTTGTCTAGACTAAATAAAAAAGTGGATTTCCTTTTATTGGGGGTAACATTATCTATAATTCATTAAAAGATAATTGTTTGTAAAACTGCCATTAGCAATGAAAGTCATTGGACAACTTCTGTTAAAACCCAATTAAAAAGCCACATTTATGGTGCAATTAATGATTTTATTATTCTGCCTCAATGATTAATCGGTGAGTACCTTTAGCCCTGGAGCAACCTGTGAGTACATTCCACCAAAGGATCTCTTAAAGATGAACGGATTCTGCTAAGAAAGGGAAGAAAAGCAGAGAGGGTAACTTTATGCACCAGGTAACAGGCAGAATACTGGCCCACGGTGGTTCTGACATTTTGCTTTTCCAGCTTTGCTTTCCTGAACTAAATATGAACAATTGTGCAGAAAATAGGATACAGGTAGTCCTCGACTTACAACAGTTCATTTAGTAACCATTTGAGGTTACACTGGCACTGAAAAAAAAGTGATGTTCACACTTATGACAGTTGCAGCATCCCCAAAGCCGTGTAATCAAAATTCAGGTGCTTTTGGCAACGGACTCACATTTAACACCGTCATATGATCCCCTTTTGTGACCTTCTGACAAGCAAAGCCAATGAGAAAGCCACATTCACTTAACAACCATGTTACTAACTTTAACAACTGCGGTGATTCACTTAAATCTGTGACAAAAAAAAAGTAGTAAAATAGGGGAAATTCACTTAACCACTGTCTCACAGAAAATTGGGGCTCAATTGTGGTTGTAAGTCGAGGACTACCTGTATGTGAAACAACCTATCTCAATTGTATCTTGGTCATGCCCCGTATCATCTTTTCCTGTTGGCTCCTCTGAGCCTTCGTGCTGACTCCAGCTTGCACCCGAGGCTCGCTGTCTCCCGGAAGAAACAGAACCATCCTTCCGCCCTCTGACTTTTGTGCTGGTGGGTGTGCTGCCTTTTCATGACATACATTTGCCCTTCCTATGTTATTTCTGAATCAATCTCATCCAACTGAGCGAGCAGTTAGAAAGAATTTGTCAAAGGACTCCCTCACGGCCCCATTCCTGGATTCAGATTCTGGGATTTAAGAGCCTGCTGCTGTCAGGCAACTGCAGATTGACCCGAAACGAAACCAACAGATTAGGAGCAAAAAACAGATTAGAAGGCAACTGACTAGTCTGGGAAAGTTTTCACAATGCCTTCACTTTAGTATGAATGGTGGTCCAGCATCCAACCATGACGAACTCTAGAACATTTGTGCTTAGGTTGGGAGGAATGGCGAAGCTTCAATGTTCCTTCCCTCTTCGAAATCTCACTGCCTGCTCTTTTCTCACCAGGGATAGTGTCCCATACTGTGAATCGGACTATCATGCCCAATTTGGTATTAAGTGCGAGACCTGCAACCGATATATTAGCGGCAGAGTCCTAGAGGTGAGTCCAATGCAAAGAGATGTCTTTATTATGACAGGAGTTACGCAAACAGGAAACAGCCAAGCAGTTGCCTATAGTCAGAAGAGATCATGCTCTTTTTCCTCTAAGTAAACCAATCTGAAATAATGTCAGTACCATGCATGGCATGCTTCTTTACCAAGGATGTTTGGATAACTGTGGGATGAGCTCACAAACTGCTATTTGCCCCAAAATGTTAGGATTTTTCCCCGCCTGATATTTTTATAAAGAGGTTGGATAAATTGAAGAATCTGCAAGAGGAAAATAAGCCATGGGACAAATAATACAGTATATGGGGAAACCTAATGGATGCTAAACATTGCTGAATTTATTGTTGGTGCGCCAAAATTGAGCATGGCTGGGTCAGCACTATAGAACAAGAGAACATTCATGCTTTTTGGAACTTGATTGCTATCAAACCTTACCTACCTGCATTTGGGTTTTTTTTTTTTCTTTAGTTTCATTTCAAGCCCTCACACGTCACAGAAAAATCCTATGAGGACAGATCATTTGCTAAATAATGAAGAATGTTGATACTAGTTCCATTCCATTTCAGAACATCTGCCAGTAAATCTGTCACCTCACTTTGCAGAAGGAACTTCCATTTTTAATTACACATAATTGTGAATAATATTTCTTCCTCTCTGTTCTGAATTTCCCAGTATTAAAATTATTTCGTTGATCCTTGCTGTAAGTATGAGGTGAGAAGAAAAATCCATTCTTTCTCACTCCATGCACCTATCTTCAGTCATACTATCATTACAGCAGTCCTCCAGTTATGACAGCAATTGTGACCGAGATTGCCATTGCTAAGTGATTCGATCATAAAGTACAATGTCATGCGATCACCTCACATAGTGACAGCAATCACAGGAGTTGTAGTCCTATCGTGATCTCGGAACCATGCAGATTGTTAAGCAAAAATGTGTAGGAATTCAAGGCAAGGAGTGCAGGAGGTTAGGGACACCACAGATGGACTCTAGGGAATGCAGTGGGGATTGGGAAAAATGGGCAGACAGGTGATGTCAGTGGTAGATGTGGGACTACAAGGATTGGCTGGCAAGGATATGGGCAGGTGCTGGGGAAGCCTGGTATATGTTGTGTCTGGGCAATGGGACTGCTGCTTGCATGTGGGCACCTGATATGGAATGCAAGAGAGTGCTTGGCAAAGTAATTTTTTCTCTGGCTGCGGTAAGTGTCAGTGACACCTTTTTATTCAGATGCTCTTTCAATCCATCCACCTGGAAGAATGCTTTGTAGCTAAATTCCACCCTGCTCCTCCCTCTGGTTTTGGCAACAAATTCAGTACACCTGCTACTTGTTTCATATAAGTCATCTGCAAAAAGGCACTTTGAACCAGTCAATGGAATTTATAGAATTGGGTAGTAAGTGTATATTCTTCCTGGGTCTAAATTCATCCTTGCTCGGATGAGTAAAAAGGAAAGCTCAGCTAAAAATTGAAAGTCATCTGGAGGGCATTCAATTGCAGAAGTTTGATCTAACTAAATAGAATAAAGCAAAATGGTGGCTCACCTTAATCATGAAACATTAATAAGAAAAACAAAATCTAGTCTGGCAAAATTGCTGTGTGTATACCAAAATAATATATTAGGAATGAAGCAAGTGAACCAGGCATACTTTAACATAATGAGATAATTAAATAAAATAGACATTAATGACAAAGAAGGGAAAATGTTACCATTTGTACCAGGAGAGGTTCCTGTGTATATTAGTTTAAGTAGAACTTCCAAATAATCCATTTTATCTCTTCTCTCTAGCACCATCGCTTCCCCAATAATAAACTGCAACAGAAGTAGTACCTGAAATAAATAATGAACAGAGACTTTCTAGTAATGCTGACAGAAGTAAAATGAATTAAAATGTTGTTGTTTTCAGTATTAATTATGGAAAATCACTCATCACTGCATTTCTTTTTCAACAGTTGCTCTTGTAATTTATTTTCCTACTACTAACACATGCAACTAAACTTAATTTCTGCAGCAGTTAACATGGAGCTCTGATTCAGAGGTAGAACTGGTTTTCAGTACTATATCTAATTCCTGGAATATATGAAGTAATAATAATAAAAAGTCCTCTGAGCATGAATTGATAATTGGTCTTAACGAGTGGTTTCATTGCAGCCCATCTAAGTTTAATTATTAGTAAAGGAGCAGCAGGCAGAGGCCTAGAATCTTAGGTTGGCTTGGAGCCTAGCAGTGCTCTGTTCAAATATTTAAAATTGAGGAGAAAGGAGTCCCAACTTTGAGCCAGAAATGGTCATTTCCTTGTTAGGTGTTTGCCCATTTTGTGCCATTTTCCCCTCCTCTGATTCTGAATTAACTATTTATTTTGGATTTAACTAACACTCATCCAGAGATAAATTGATGTGAACTTGCCAAGGATCTAGTCACTTAATTTAGTACATACTCCAAAAAAATTCTTGAAACTCATTGCATGTTGGAAAAAAGCCAGGTATTTAGGCTTAAATGTTGCTTGTTGGCAGTAATTTGATCATGCTTTCATTTTCCACCTTTCTACCCAAGACAGTCAAACCAAGATAATTTGGAGCAGGTTTTAAAAATAATTCTGCCAAGTGATTGCATTCAGAAAGGTGCTCTTGAGTTGCATTAAGACTTCCAACTTCCTAAAATTGCATCGGCTTAAGACAGAGATGCCCTGAAAGGTTTTCTGGAACAGAAAGTAGGTTAAAGGACAACTGGATAGCACTTTTAATTCAAAAGGATTTTCACTCCAGATCTATTTTCTTCAGTCATGCACTATGGCTAACAGTTGTTTCACGGAAATGGGAAAAGCTAATGAAATTGTCTTTAAGATAAATCTTAGAAAGAAATTGTTACACATGGATTCATTCTAGACATGTTTGTCTTTTCTGTACATTACTGAGTGGGTTTAACCCGTTGACTGATAGTTATCTTTGTTCAATTATGTGCTGGCCTTTGAAATTCCAAGACCTTGATCAAGGGAAACTACAAAAATCATCATGATAGGAGTAACTCCAGGTCGGTCTGCAGGTAGCCTGCAACTTGGTATGAAATCAGGAGGTATGTTTGATATGTTACATAGGAAAATCTACAAAGACCATAGGGTAGTTTAGAAATCCCATGGGCAAGATTCAACCTATCTTTGGAGACATTCGTGACTGAGTTATTTTATAGTCCCTTCCAGGAGTCTCATGGACTACAAGCTCAACTTCTCGGGATTTTTCCTGATTGTGCTGGTGGAAGCATTTAATCTCTAAGTCAACTAATCATGATTATAAATCAAACCGGATGGCAGGATACTATAGAATATGATACCTACTGAGTGCCAAGATTCCTGATTTCCCTCAAGATAGGCAGCTGCTATTTTCCCTTCTCCTCAATGAAACAGGGTATGAAAGTCTTCTATTTCAACCATAATCAGTCTTCATATGTTTAAGCCTCTGGCTGTCCCAGATGGCTTTAAGCAGTGTAGCCAGCGTAGAAGATTAATGAATCTTAAACGATGACACACCCCTCCCACTTTGAATTATAATTAGCAGTCTGTCTTCACTGTTGGCAACATCAGACTCATACAATGGCCTGTAATTTTCATCAGTATAAAATAAACAAGATTGCTTGTGGTTTGTTCTAGTGGGCAGTTGCATCCCCTTCATGATCAAACTACCTCTCATGATGGACCTTTAGAGGGTGATTAAAACAAAACCAAAATGCAACCACTTATGATACTTTGCCAGGTAGCTGAGAAGTTAAGCTGTCACCAGCAGTCGGGCAGCACATAAATTTAATAAATGATGGTGGGCTGCCCAGATGTTTAGACTGTATTTGACATTTTTTTTGTCCACCTAACAAATCCTTCCGAAGGACCTAGGATAAGCAGATTTTGTTGCTTAATAATGTTAAAAGAAATGCTGCAGGATATAAACTTTTGCAAGAAAAGCTGCCCTTTGCAATTGACTAATGGTGGTTTTGTCAGTGCTGATGGTGTTCAGATAGTGCTTCAGATGTTTATTATTAGTTACATTATTGCTGAATTATAAATTCACAAAAGGTAAACTGAATTCTATGTGTAAGATAGCTGTATTATGAAGTTCATTTGGTCTTTCATGGAAGGTTTTAACTGGCTGCAATTGGATAAAATGAAAAACATTCAGGATTAATTCTGTGCATGTTCACCTAAAGATAGACACCAATTCAATGGCTTTACATTTTAATGCTATATACTGCAGCCTGCTCCGCTCATATATTCTAGGTACGTCATCAGCATTGTCTATCAATCAAGAGGCAGAAATATTTTCTGATCTCATAATCTACAAAGCTGGATTGCCCGATATCTTTAGTTGCAGGACTCCTTTTGAGAAGGTCATATTGGTGCATTGGGTGAATGCTTACATCATTTGTTTTTGAAAATATTCATTCACACAATGTGTGTCTCACTACAGCTATTCCATACATCCAAATGGTGAGAAAAACACATTTTATATTTTGTATCTGAGACAAAAATAGTTTAAATAAAAAAAACCAATGTCTCTCTTAAAGCTCAAGACTAAGAAATTGGAAGGACCAAAGACTAAAAGGAACTATATTTCCTGGTAAATTATATACATCAACTATACTTATAAGAGTGTAACACCATAGTTATAGCAAGGCCAGCTGTAACCTATATTTTTGTGGCTAAATAGAAATTCTTTTCAGAGATGGCAATAGATCTGCCAGGCATCTATTTTTATCTTTCTTTATTTAGATATTGATGGTACCGATGAGGGTTCTTCCACAATTTAATCCAGATTGAGCCACAACTTTTCCTCAACTTTAGGATTCCTGTGATCAGAAAAGAAAGTTGCGAATGGAGAACTTAGTCTTCTGCCTTCATGGAGCAATGCAACAATGCTTTGACACACTAAACAATGGCAAAGAGAAAACATAAAAATGTGAATGCTATTGCACTGGTAAAGTGAGGACTTCTGTTTTCATAGGAAGACT